TAATACAGAACAGTCAAACAGGTTTGTGAAATCTACAGCACCCTTTTTTCAGCACCCTGGATTTCTATCATATAAAAATGGCAGAATAGGTGAGGAGGCTGTCAAGGTGTTCTGTGCACCCACCTGTGGAAACACACATGCTAACAGTGTTTGTCCTCCAGACCCTCTCTCAGATGAGCTGTTATCATGGCTCTGTGATGAGCTCACTGAAGACGATGCAGCGCTTCTCTTTATGTCTCTCCGTCGCTCTGCTGTCCAGATTGCCCGACTCCGTGCACCACACAGCCTCTCAGAATGGGCCTTTTACGTTCTGACGGCGTGGAGGCGCGGCCTTCCTTCCTCGGCTCCGAAATGCCCCATCCTGGCCCACTGCTTGACCCGTGCAGGGAGGCCTGACCTTACCAGAGAGCTACTGCTCAGGGAAGCAGCAGATTACAAAACAGAGGAGAAACATGAAAACCAGGCCACCATGAGAGACCCATGACAGTGAATATGCCTTTATTACATTAGAAATGTAGGGGCTGTTGTATTGTAGTAGTGAGTTGACAGGACGAAATTATACACTCACCTAAAGGATTGTTAGGAACACCTGTTAAATTTCTCATTAATGCAATTATCTAATCAACCAATCACATGACAGTTGCTTCAATGCAATTAGGGGTGTGGTCCTGGTCAAGACAATCTCCTGAACTCCAAACTGAATGTCAGAATGGGAAAGAAAGGTGATGTAAGCAATTTTGAGTGTGGCATGGTTGTTGGTGCCAGACGGGCCGGTCTGAGTATTTCACAATCTGCTCAGTTACTGGGATTTTCACGCACAACCATTTCTAGAGTTTACAAAGAAAAGAAAGGAAAACATCCAGTATGCGGCAGTCCTGCGGGCGAAAATGCCTTGTTGATGCTAGAGGTCAGAGGAGAATAGGCCGACTGATTCAAGCTGATAGAAGAGCAACTTTGACTGAAATAACCACTCGTTACAACCGAGGTATGCAGCAAAGCATTTGTGAAGCCACAACACGCTCAACCTTGAGGCGGATGGGCTACAACAACAGCAGAAGACCCCACCGGGTACCACTCATCTCCACTACAAATAGGAAAAAGAGGCTACAATTTGCAAGAGCTCACCAAAACTAGACAGTGGAAGACTGGAAAATGTTGCCTTGTCTGATGAATCTGGTTTCTGTTGAGACATTCAGATGGTTGAGTCAGAATTTGGCGTAAACAGAATGAGAACATGGATCCATCATGCCTTGTTACCACTGTGCAGGCTGGTGGTGGTGGTGTAATGTGTGGGGGATATTTAAATGCCACGGCCCACCTGAGCATTGTTTCTGACCATGTCCATCCCTTATGGCCACCATGTACCCATCCTCTGATGGCTACTTCCAGCAGGATAGTGCACTATGTCACTAAGCTCGAATCATTTCAAATTGGTTTCTTGAACATGACAATGAGTTCACTGTACTAAAATGGCCCCCACAGTCACCAGATCTCACCCCAATAGAGCATCTTTGGGATTTGGTGGAACAGGAGCTTTGTGCCCTGGATGTGCATCCCACAAATCTCCATCAACTGCAAGATGCTTTCCTATGGGCCAACATTTCTAAAGAATGCTTTCAGCACCTTGTATAATCAATGCCACGTAGAATTAAGGCAGTTCTGAAGGTGAGAGGGGGTCAAACACAAAATTAGAATGGTGTTCCTAATAATCATTTAGGTGAGTAGACCATTTCACAAGATGTAAACAACACTGGTCCAGAAACACTTCCTGTTTCAGTTTGTAACTGTTTTCTTTATTTCACATGTAAAGAAAACATCTTAAAGATGTTTGTTTAACTTTTTGATTCAGTTTAATATGTTCTGTTGGTTGTATTTTATCCCAGCTTTTATGTAGTGTTAAAAAACTGAAACAGGGAGTGCTTCTGGACCAGTGTTGTTTACATCTTGTGAAAGTATGCAATTACAATGCTTCCTTGTTCAAGATACAAAATGCAGCATTTATTTGATCGTGAACCAGTGAAATATTATCACAATTTAAATAACTCTTATTCTGTTTTAGAATATAATTTATTCCTGTGTTGGAAAAGCCACTTCAGTCTCAATCACATGATCCTTCAGAAATCATTATAATATGCTGATTTGCTGCTCAAGAAACATTTCTGATTTTTAGTGTTGAAAACAATTGATTAATATTGTTGTGGAAACATTTCTTTTTTAGGATCTTTTGATGAATAGAAAATTGATCAATTGAATGCATTCTTGGTGAATAAAAGTATTAATATCTTAGTTAGTATTTAAGTATTTGAATTTCTTTAAAAAAATCTTGCTGACCTCCCCTTACTGAACTTTTGAGTGTGAAATGAAAGCATCATAGCAAAGTCTATAAATACATTAATAGTCAATAGTGCAATAATACAGTAACTGACTGTTTCTTTTTCTATGCACCAAGAGGTTCCTGGCCTTAACATTTGAAGACATGATTGGAGCATAGACAGTATAAGAAGGATTGGAGACATGAACTGCCGAACTGCAGAGCTATACGTCACAGCATCAGACCGGAAGTTATGCCTATCCCACCCCACCACTAAACCTCCTCCTCCCAACGACTGCTGTGAAGTAGGCTAGGCTCAGAGGTTCTGCAGATGTATAAATGGAAGTGACCAGTAGATGTCGCCGACATGTTCATGAAATGCAGCTTTCAAAGAATCATGCACTGCTGAATAGACCATTTTGTTAGATGTAAACAACACTGGTCCAGAAACACTTCCTGTTTCAGTTTGTAACTGTTTTCTTTATTTCACATGTAAAGAAAACATCTTAAAGATGTTTGTTTAACTTTTTGATTCAGTTTTACATGTTCTGTTGGTTGTATTTTATCCCAGCTTTTGTGTAGTGTTAAAAAATTGAAACAGGAAGTGCTTCTGGACCAGTGTTGTTTACATCTTGCGAAATGGTCTATAAATAATGTAGCTACATATTACAAGAAGTTTATAATTTCTTGACAAAACCGAAAGTAGCCTACTACAACTATGAAGTAAAAGGGTATTTGAAGTAGAACTAGGCAGAATATTTGCTCATTGGCTCAAAAGAAAAACTGACCTTTTTTCAGAGTAGCCTACAGAGTCTACTTCAAGTTGCAAGTGTGAGGACACAACTCTAGCTCCGGAGCATGTATAATAAACAGATGGGATGGGATTAAAAAATGAAAGAGCAAAAGGAGGGGGAACTATATTAATTGTAACAGTTCATCCCTATTTCGCTGTATTTTACATGAATTATTATTTCTCAAGGTGTATGTTAGGGCACACCCACTAAAATAATTATTGTTAGGCATCTGTGCGAATGAGAGGTTAGTATAAAAGAAAAGAAAGCCGGTTTGTCACTTTGGATTATTTCTCTTAAAGCATGTAGCAATGTTCTTCGACATTGACAGCAAAAGCTGTTGTTCTTTTTTTCAGTGTTCAGTGTTATCTTAACAAAATAGCTTGCACGTATGATATAAATGTAGGCCCGCGGCCGCCTATACAATGATGCATGATATTATGGCCTTAGATAACAACTTGAAGAACGCTATGAAATGGCAGTTTTACTGAGACTGCTGGGTCCTGTGTTGTATTGTAGTGATGTTAGTGTGTGACTTCAAAGCCTGTATCGAGTACGCAGCGCAATTTCTCATGAAGCCCCCCAGTGGTGTACGTGATCAAAAACGATGCCTCACTTTCTTTCCAGTCACGTGAATGCTTCCATTTCCTTGTCGGAATGTTCGAATACACAAGACCACTACTCAAAAGGTTTATGGACGTTCAACTCCATTCACTAACATTTATATAGGCTAGTGTCATATATTCTGCCTAATAAATAGTGTATAAAAACAATAAAATAATTAGAACACCATTCACATGCCTCTGATTGTCATATTATTATTAGTAGTAGCCTATTACATTGAATTTATTGCAGAATTTTAATGTCCGAATTATATGATCAGAAAACTGAACATTTGAAGTTGTCATGCTTTTATACAGTATGTGGTTTGTGGATGAAACAACGGAGCTGCGCATTCGTGTTTATGGCTGTTATAAATTTTATCTACCACGAGATGACGCTGTTTTCGACAGTCCTGATGCATCGAATCTTTGCTCGGAACAATCAGAGAAAAACATCGAAGCTTTGAGAGGCTTCGTTTCTCCATTTCTGCTAAATGTGGGTACCTTAATGCAGTCCAAACTTAATTTGACTTCAAACTATACTTGCCAGACCTTGGCAAGCGGTTGGGACAGTTTTACCAAATCGGTTAAAAGGAGGTCAGGTCAGAATGTTTATGACGCCTTTCTGACGGCGATGATTAATTCATCCATGTAGCAGCAGTACACACACACATCGGGCCACACCGCAAGCCGCGTGAGTCTGAAGGGCGTTGCGGAAGCTGCTTGACGTCACCAGCAGCCAGCCTCTGAGGCACGTGGAACTGTGCATGGCTCAGGCTCATTCACCACCAGGTTTCAGTTTAGTTGTGCAAAACATTTTAAAACAATAGAGTTGGGAAGTCCTACTCATTTTACTGTTCATTTCTATTTCTTCATCTCTCGCATGGTCCCTGAAATTCACGCTTTAAAACCGATATATAGGCAGCACGTAGTGCTGTAGGTTTTATTCTGTTTTTTTTTTTAAATTAATAATGTGGTCTAGTTAAGTTTTCTGCGTTCACAACTAAGCTAAAAATGGTCACAAGGACCTACATACTATATTTAATTTATTTCTACATCTACAGGAGTCTAATAGGAATATGTAGTCCTGCCCACAACACACTCTCGCTCTCATGTATTGCAACAACAACAGGCGCGCTGCAACGTGACAGCTGATGAACGTGAGCCGAGTGCCTTTGGCATCGGCCAATCAACGAAAGCTTCGCCGTGAATGGGTGGAGTCAACCAATGGGATTCGTGGCTTGCTGCGAGCACAGCCAATTGAATTCCTCGGTGTTTTAGACAGATTGGAAAGCACGTGTACTCGTGTGTGTCTGGAGTCGTGGGGAAACAAATCTCTAGCACACAATTGCAGCGAAAGCCAGTGGATTGCAGATGTAAAAACGTCGGTTTCGTGTTTTGTTTACCGATTTAATAACACAAGAAATTGTAATACTTTTCGACATAGGATATTTGTCCTCTCGTTTGGTGGAGCAGTACGACTCAGAAGGTAAGTCCACCATTAACCAGGAGCTTAACGTTAAATGTGGCAGGTTTCTTCTTTTTCGATTGAACCTTTTATACGTTACCGATTCGGATTACAATATTAGGTTTGTCCAACTGAAGGTGCTGATTTGCGTGGAAAATTGTTCAAATAACGTTAACTTTAGCTATTGACCGTTGCACAATAAGCTAAAATAATGAAATGCTTGAAATGTAAACATCATACCTTATAACGTAATTATACCATCATAAGTTACTGTTTTACAAGTCTGTTCAATGTGTCCATGCTTTGCTTTAAGTTTATTCATATTTTTTTTGGCATTTTTGTATGCGAATAAAGTAAAACTGTGTGACGCATCACGCATTGACCAACACTTCTGTATCTTGACTCCCCGAAAATCTGTTAAATATATGAGAGTTTCCTTACTAAGTAAAATGATATGAAATTGAGAAAATTTATGCAAAACTCATGTAATCTTAATTTAATGGTGATTAAAGTATCAATATGGATGATATAGGCTATGTCATGTTGTTGGTTCATTATGCTTACTTCATATTCCAATGTCGATGCAGTAGTTAGTCAACTATATTCAGGTGGATTGTGTCTGAAATATTTAACTGTTTTCAGGACAAGTTTTTCATAAATCTTAGGACAGGGCAAGTTGTATGTCATGAATTTATTGATTACAATATACTTTTGACAAACAAGCCGTTTGGTAATTTTGCACTTTATTGTCATAATGTTTGTTGTCTCAGGGACTTTGTTTATGCTTCATAATTGTTTTATTGTTTAAATTTAGTTGAAAAGCAGATAATAGGCTGGGTAATTTTGCTGTTGGGGCATGTTGTCACACAGTCCAACTTGTGGTCAATAAACTATTTTGGTAGCACTTTACAATAAGAAAAGTAATCTAGCTGTTCATCTTAGTTTAACTAATGTTAGCAAATTCAACATTTGATTTTAATAATATGTTAGTAAGTGTTCAAATAAACATGAACTAAGTCTAAAAGTAATAAATGCTGTAGAATTATTTTCAATTCTTAGTTCAAGTTAATTACAGTAGATAACTAATGAAACCTTATTGTAAAGTAAGCAAGAGCAAGAACAGACTTAAAGGTTGATGCCTAAACAGAAACTATATATATATTTTAAATGAAACCAATATTTATTCAATTGAGTAACATGTGTGACAACTAGCCCTCTCTCTCCAATTCATCATCATATGCAAAGAATGTCGTGGATAAGTAACAGAGCAGGGAAGCTCAAGACTATTGTCTAAAAATGAATAATCAGCTATGGAGTGCAAGTGTTTAATGATGATGACTGCTTTTTATTACTATAATTGCCAGAAGAGTTCAGTCTGTTCAGACTGCCTTTATGCCAATTAGAGCGGTTTCACTGGCAACTGAAAGTCTGTCCTTCTGGTTTTTACATGTCTTGTACTGTAATACTTGTTTGCAAACTCCTAGGGGTTCATGAAGGAACTGCTGGTCAAATTGTAATAGGATTAAATGCATAATACATTTAAATTAAATAAATTAAATACATTGTATACATATTTTGATTTGTTTTAAAATTAAAAACAAAAATACAATATATTAATAATAATTATTTATGAAATTTGATCAGAGGGCTTCTGCAGAAAATGCTGTCCTGCTTAGAGTAATACCAAAGACTAAAGCCCTCAAAATTCATAATTCATCTTGGAGAGAAAAGGTGGCAGTAGTGTATAAAACCTACATCAGTCGCACTAGATTTTAAACATGCAAAATTCTTTAGACCCTTCAACTAAGGAGAGTGACAGAATATGATTCTGTATTGAATAAATAATAAATGGTAATATTACATTCAAAATACAGTACTCCACTTTCTCAGGTTGTATGTATTGGACAAAGAGGTCAATCTAAAGCGCTTGGTTCCAGACTTTATGTTGTTAGTTGAAAGTTGGGTTATGTGAGACTAGATGACAGTTCGGGGAAATATGTGTGGTGCATCGCACTGGGGTAACATGATGACATTCTTTGCATATCAGATCAAAAGTGGTTTTGGCTCACATTTTAGTATAAATCATTTAGCCTGTTTCTGGATAGTTTTTCTTTCTGTTTCTCTTTAAATTAAAAGTGATGTAGAAATAATTTCTATTCCAGTTTATTGTGCAGTGACAACTATGTTGGTTTCCACGAAAGTGGAAAGAGTGTATCAGTATAATTTTGAGCAGCTCAACATTACCTGCTCGAGTGGTCTAAGTACCTGACACCCCACTTGAAACCATGACCTTGTTCCGAGGCTTTGGAACTCACTTAACCTCAGTTCTCCGAGTTGGGGAACGAAGTATTGCGTAGATATACGCAGTGGGAAAACTCCTTTTTCTCGATTTACTGAAACCTATATGTAAAACGATTTGTAGCTACAAATGCAACTGCACATCCAATGGTGTGGACGCCTGTCAAGGGGCATGGCCTCAGCCTATATTAGCCATTATAGCAGGTTTATACAACCGTGGAGAGGTCCCATGGTGGCACAGAGGGAGGTCTGGAGGGGTTGATCCTCCCAGCACCCTTCAGAAATCTCATGACGAAGTCATTTTTTCTCTGTGATTGGCCAGCCACCAGAACATGGTGTGCTGCAATGGCTGCCATATACACTTTGAGTGAGGACAGGGAGTGGCCCACGTCCAACAGCTCCAGTAGGAGTGAGAGAACCACTGATATTTCACATGATTCTGGGTCTATATGGTATTTCGAGCACCAGCTGAAAAAAAAAACAAAAAAACCTCCCATTATTTCGAAGCATAGAGACTGTGAGTCAACGGCATCCTAGCTTCAGATATAGTTCCTTCCTTCACAGGAAGGTCCACAGATACCCGTTTAGGGGCCACACATCGAGGGCCAATAGATCGGGCCGCGGATGCCACATCGTTCCCTTCGCCTGAGTAAGGAGGTCTTTCCTCATTGGGACAGGCCATGGAGCTTTGTCCAATAACTGAACCAGCTCCAGAAACCACGGTCTGGATTTTCTGAGAGGAGCCACCAGAAGGACTGCGCACTCTCTGACCCGTTTGATGACTTGTGGAATCATCGAGACGGGGAAAAGCACACAGGGGACGGTTGGGCCAGACGTGGACCAACGCATCTATGTCCTTCAAGAGGAACATATTGCAGTGGGTGTTGTTTTTCGAGGCTAACAGGTCGATATCAGCTCTGCCAAACACCTTCCATATCAGGCTGACCGTCTGTGGGTTCAGGGACCACTCGCCGACATTTTTGTCGACACTCGCTCTCATTTTTGAATCGCGTTTAGTTTAGTTCTTTGCGCCAAAGCGCACACATTCAACTAACTTTTAATATGACATCATTATTGAATCATCATTGTTGATGTTTTTCATCAGTCAGACTCAAACATAAATAGTTGAAAAAGCTGCAAAGTGCAAGTTGATGACTTGAACTGTTGTATAAAATTGTTTTTATGATATCACGTAATCTTACTCATTGTTCTGTTAAATCCATAAATAAATAAACCATAGAAAAAATACCAATAAAATCTGTTCCAGAAGCAGTTTTTTTCCGAATAGTACTGTTTTGAGCAAGTGGTCCTCACGGCAAAGTCAAATGACGACCAGCTCCTCCTCTCTGGAGCTTTAAGGGGTGGAGGGACAGAGTTGTAGGTATGGTTTGGATATTCTAGCTCCATACATTAGGCCCAGATTGCATTCGCATGATGCTCCTAGCTGGATCTGTTCCTAACTAGTAGTCACTGGGAATTGTTCATATCTTCTTTGGATTGAGAGCGTCTGATTAAAATGTATTCAGTCTCTAATTTGTCCACACTTTCATTTGTGCGCGTCTGCATTCACACATTTAAAAATCATGACGCGCCGTGTTTTGAATATTGGGCGCAGATTACGTTTTCACCTTGATTATCGGTCGAGTTTTTTCCCCATCTGTTTTTCGATTAAATTGTATGATCAGGAACCTGGATCCCTGTGAGCCAACAGCTCTCATTAATGTAATACTTGGCTATATTTTTTTAATAAAAAATGTAGACAAACTTGCTCTCCCCCTTAATCCACTGATTTTCCATTTAGACATTTAGTACATAACAAAGAAAATATTCTTAACTGTGTGTTTTATAAATGCCCTTTATGTAGGATTATTTTCTAACATCTCCAACCTCCATTACACACATAATTGTAAGATGCAAAAGAGATTATTTGATGAAGCTTTGTGGTGTAAGATCTAGTCAGACATCCACTCGGTGGCAGCTTTCTGTTTCTTTGCAGAACATAAGCAACAAGTATAAACAGGTGCAGAACAGGTGTCATAAGTGTGTATGCATGTGCATGAGAACACCCACAGAAACAAATTAATTCCAAACAAACAGCCCTGATCTGGCCTAGAAAAAAAGAAACACATGGTCTGTCAGACTCTGTCTTAAGAAAAATGGCATCTGTGGCCATTTGACGTCTGTGAAGATACTTTTTCTTGATCTGGAATTTTGATATAATTGTTGCGTCCATTGTTCACTGTGTTTGAGTGGCACTCCTTATCATTTAGACACTTACCTCTTAGTATGTAGAAGTTATTTAATAATAATAATAATAATAATAAATTACAATTTTAATAGGCGATATATTTCTCTGAAATATAGATCAGTTTTAAAAACATTGTGCGGTTAGTTCTTTCAGAAACGGATGTTTCACTTCATTCAGCTGCCTCATGATTTTAACATTTGACATTCTGTAAATGACTGGGATTAATTGCAAGGCATTTGGGTTTAAACACCTTTATACTTGTTGTTCTCTTTGCAATGACGTGGGATAAAAGGTTTATGCTGATCAAAGCTGTTCAACTGCTCCTAATCCATGTCTGGTAAACCATTTAAATTAAGTGAATTATTTATAGTTCAGTAACAGTTTCTTATGCGGCAAAGAATCTTTTAAGAAAAGTATGTCCATAAATTCTAACCAAGAATTCTGGTATGATTTCCCCTCTGGAAACAACTGGTTAGATATTAGATATTAATAAATGGCTTTGGTAGTTTTGAGGTCAGCCAAATAAAAGCAAATGGGTAGATATAGTTTACTGTATAAATAAATTGTGCATCTTCAAACTGGGTTCTATATTTGAGCTTCATAGTCATACAACCTAAAATTAGTAATTTTAGTGCCACCAACTACTTTTCATCATGTATTAATACTTTACACAGTTAATGTGCCCTAGAATAACCGATTGTCTTAGAATTAGTTTCTGCTTTCTAGCTGCATGCTCAATTTTTAGTGTCACTTTCCTTTCTTGCTATTTACAGTAAATTTAGAATGTGTGTACGTCTAAACTCAGTAGCTCCAGAAATGGAATCGGAACATTAGAGGGATGATGACGGTAACAATCCCAGAGAGGAAGCACAAAAGACTCTGCAGAACACAGACGACACATGACATGTGAAACAAAAAGACATCAGGACTACTGTTGTGTGTGTGTGTGTGTGTGTGTGTGTGTGTGTGTGTGTGTGTATATATATATATATAGATGTCTTTTTGTTTCACATAGTTCGTAAATGCAAAAGACAAAACAAGCTTGCGTAGTTAAAGCTTGAGAGTGGATGTGTGGATCTAGAAAGTCTTGGTTACCAAGGAGACCAGAAAAGGTTTCTGTTGGGCCAGAGAATATGAAATATCATGTGCAGGAAAATCACTAGTTTACCTAGTTAAAAATCAAAAACAGCCCTGAGTACAGCATTTCCTGTTAAAAGACCAGGCTGTTAACCAATAATATTTTTATTAGATGTATGGGAATACCTAATTGTAGATAACTAACCAGCAACTCAGTATATGATGATTTATAAGCAAAGTTCAGTAGGAGCATGTTCAAACAATCATTCCAATCAACTTCATAATGTAGACAACTTTATCATGTCTACCCCATCACCATGAAAAGAAGCTTATATAGAAGAAGCATATACTGTGTATATATATATATATATGTATATATATACTCTGTCAACTCTAAACCTAAACCTAAAACCTAAAATTCCTTGACAGTTTCAGCAGTCTTGGCTTATTCTTTCACAGCCAGGAATACGGGGGGAGTACTCTGGGTTCAGGCCGAATACCTAACCCGGAGACCTCTCCTCGTACAGCACACCAAATACGCATTTATTCTATCTGACTTATTTGTAAGTGCGAACTCATGAAATCTCTTTGTCCAAATGTTTCAGACTGACCCACACTTACCTTTTCTTTTGCTCTTTTTTTCCTGGCAGTTGTCTTTCAAGAAGAGATAAAGTGACAGAACCCATTTCCCAGTGGCTGTTTTTGGTACTTTCTCTTGCATTGTCACACTCCATCTGGCTCTGTGGTAGCAGCCAAGTCTGTTTCGTAACAACCAGTTCTGTCTATTTTTCTGAGATGAACAACGTTTTCTGCCATTAACAAGCTATTTTGAACCACTTCCAGAGGAGAAAAGGAACAACGGACGGGGTGCAGAGACACCTGGATATACCATGATTCTTGTTTGCGGGACAAATCTGTGAAGAATATTTGCGTCAAAATGATTTCCCACTGTAGTTCAAGCAGTCCAACATAGTGAACTTTTTTAAAAAAAAAAAAAACTCTTTAATCTATTAACAGGTGAATCTCATCACCTTGGCAATTGCCTATTCGTACAGTATTATTATGAGCGATGATAACTCCGACTCCGCGCCCAGCGTTGATTCAGCTAGAGGAGCAAGAGTCGAGAAAAAGGCAGGGCTGGTTGACAGATCCTGCAGCATGAGTGAGAGCTCTCCCTCATCGAATCCGGTGAATAGTGAGACAGGATCATCTCTGGGAGGAGTATCTGATGCCAAGAGATCCCCAGGTGGCAACCGTGGGACAAATTCCGATGATACGGATGGACTGTCAAGTGGAAATGACTCTGGGGAGAGGGAAAGTGAAGGAGGGATGGAGAGAGGGAGCGGATCCAGGGGGAGACAGTCAAACCGAAGTTATCAGAGTTCCTCCAGTCAGAACGGAAAAGACTCGGCCATGTGTCTGGAGACTACGGAGAGCAACAAGAGGTGAGTGAGAGAAATCCTTTAGAAAGCCTTCTAAAGCCCATACGATAGCTTTGTGTGATGAAATGCCTGAAATTTAAGTTATTTATTGACTTATAATCTCTCCAATGCTGCAATTCTTAAATCAAATATGACATTTAAGGATTGATGATGTTAATGTCCATTCTCTGAAAACAAATCAATACATTTTGGGTTGTTCATCACATAGAGATGGCACTATAGCACACCAATCACTTTTCTTCTACATTTCTATTCAAATTCTAAATGCGGCTCTTGTTTTTGATCTCTTCTCCCTCAGCTCAAATTCTCACAGTTCTTCTCCACCCAGCAGCTCTCTGGCTTACAGCCTGCTGAGCACCAGCTCCGAGCAGGATCCGCCGTCCACCAGCGGCTGCAGCAGTGATCAGTCCGCTCGTGTCCAGACTCAGAAAGAGCTGATGAGAGCCCTGAATGAGCTGAAGATCCGTCTGCCACCAGAGAGGAAGATGAAGGGACGCTCCAGCACCCTTAATGCCCTCAAATACGCCCTCAGCTGTGTCAGACAAGTCAGAGGTGAGCGGGAATTTCACGTCTTGCAGGCTGAAATGAGCCCAGTATTGTAACGTTGGCTCAACCAATGGCACGAGTTTTGGCTGGGACTCTCTTTGTCTAAACGATGAAAGATGAGGGAAATATTTAGGTACAGTTACATGCAATATTTGTTTGGTGCCACTAGAAGCACAGGATTTACACACTTCTCCGGTAACAGAATTTGTGCATCCATTGATTTAAAGGTTTTCTTTTTTTTTCTTTGAATCTTGCAGCCAACCAGGAGTATTATCACCAGTGGAATGTTGAGGAGTGTCATGGCTGTAGTCTCGACCTCTCCACCTTCACTGTTGAAGAACTGGACAACATCACCTCTGAATACACGCTCAAAAATACAGTACGTTGACTCGCACACAAACCCATTTCTTTCTCCTGTAGTAAAACTGTATTTTTGAATATCGTTGTTGAAGAAAAGATGCTGGTCAAAGAAGTGTCCTAGTAATCCAGATAGCAAAAGGATTTTGACCCTTGTTTTTTTCTTTTGTGCAGGACACATTTTCCATGGCGGTGTCTTTCCTGTCAGGGAAGGTTGTGTACATCTCACCCCAGGGATCATCTCTTCTGCGCAGTAAGCCAGAGAAGCTGCACGGGGTTTTGTTTTCAGAGCTGCTCGCGCCCCAAGATGTGAGCACTTTCTACAGCAACACCGCACCCTGCAGACTGCCATCATGGGCCTCCTGCATCGGCTCCGGTATGTTTGTGTGAGGTGTATTTTGGTTGTGTTAGGGCAGGTAACACTAACATTTGACAATCAGAAAGGGTCACAAAATGCTTTTGATCTTAAAGGAACAGTTCACCCAAAAATGAACATTCTGTCAACTTTCATTCCAATGTATGCCGATATAATGTGTGCTATTGTACTCTAGGTTATTGAAAAAGGACTAACGAGATCCGTTATGGTCACGCTATACTAATGAAGTTTAAGGCAATAAACAGTTCTCTCTTTCCCTTTCTTTGACTGTAGTCTCTCCACCAGCTGACTGCACCCAAGAGAAGTCCATGTTTTGTCGTATCAGTGGAGACGTCTCATCCGGTGGTGATGTAAAGTACTACCCATTCAGACTGACCCCCTACCTGCTCACGCTCCGAGACTCTGACATGGCCTACCCTCAACCCTGCTGTCTGCTCATTGCAGAGAGAGTACACTCGGGATATGAGGGTACGTTTTTTTTCTGTTTAAAACGCATCCGTTTTTCTCCACGTTTTGAAAGAAATGGATGGAAAAATAAACTCGCTTTCTCTCATTCCCTCTTTCAGCCCCTCGTATTCCTCTGGATAAGAGGATATTCACTACCAGTCACACCCCCAGCTGTCTTTTTCAGGAGGTGGATGAGCGGGCAGTTCCTCTTTTAGGGTACCTGCCTCAGGACCTGGTGGGAACCCCAGTCCTGCTGTACCTCCATCCAGAGGACAGGCCCATTATGGTGGCCATCCATAAGAAGAGTGAGTCACTCTCCCTTCCTCTCTCTAACCTCGGCCCATTTCTTTTCTTTAATGAGAGCGGTAAGGCACAACTTTCACTTTCTCTCTCAGTTCTCCAGTTTGCTGGGCAGCCGTTTGAACACTCACCCTTGCGGATGTGTGCACGTAACGGAGAGTATCTGACCATAGACACCTCTTGGTCCTCCTTTATTAACCCCTGGAGCAGGAAAGTGGCCTTCATTGTTGGACGCCACAAAGTCAGAACGTAAGTATTCACGGATATGAGTTCACACAAGAGCCCAAATTAACAGTTAGAAACCCTTGCTATTTAATTTTTTATCGTGATGTTAGTGAATCAAATCAGACTTTGTGATCTTTTTATCTGAAATTTATGTTCAAAAGTTTGGGGTTGGTAATTTATTATTATTTTTTAAATGCTCCTGAAAGAAGTCACTCATGCTCACTAAGGCTGGCCAAGGATTCATTTAATTAAAAAAAAAAAATAATTACTGACCCCAATCTTTTGAGAAGTAGTGTAGAAGAACCGCTAAATAATCCATAGTCCCCAGTACTACTATATAAATATATATGTCCATCCGTGTACACTTCTATAGCTGTGTGCACAGCCCAAACACAGACATGCACATGTAATTCCTCAGTCCCATACCTCCCACACATACCATATGTAATATGTGCACAGTCATCAGCACATGGCTCTTTTATGCTTACACTGACAGATTTTTCATGAGCTCAATATGTCCCAAGAACCATTTCTTTTCTCTCAGCGTGCAGAGACTCACAGACTCACAAGCTGCTACACACACATATACATGTACACCTGTATAACTGTAGGCTTTTGGAGAAATGATTCAAACATATTTTATGTACATCCACACATTTACCTCTTGATTTTTTCTTTCCAGCTCTCCACTGAATGAGGATGTCTTTACGCCGCCGAGGGGTCAGGAGGAGCGGACCCTGTCCCCAGACATCCCTCAGCTCAGTGAGCAGATCCACAGGCACCTGGTGCAGCCTGTCCACAACGGGAGCTCTCAGGGCTACAGCAGCCTGGCCAGCAATGGATCCCACGAGCACCAGCCCAGTGCCACCTCCTCATCAGAAAGCAGTGGGCCGTGTCTAGAGGACCCCTCGCAGTTCCACAAACCAGTAAGTGTTTAGAGACCAAAGCCTAAAACGAAGACTGCACATGAATTGTAAGCAGTAAACAGCAGTCATATAGTTTTACTTCTTATTAGAACTGTTCATATAAATGAAAGGGAGGGGAGAGATTGATCGGTTTAAATGAAATGAACTGCATTTTTAAACAGATGACCTTCCAGCAAATCTGCAAAGATGTCCACATGGTGAAGACCAGCGGACAACAAGTCTTCATTGACTCCCGCAACCGACCTCCTCCTAAAAAACACACGACCACAGGTACACAAACACATACATTTATTTTGAAGCCAACATTTTCATTTGTAGTTGAATTAATTTTCTTTTTTCAAGATTGTTTGTCTAAAGATGTTTGCTGTGTCTGGAAAACAGGTGCTTTGAAAGCAGTTGAAGCGGGACAGCCGGGCAGCAGTCTCTGTCCTGGTGCTGCTCCACCCTCCAAGAGCTCCGCACCATCCCTTATCGTCCCAAAGGAGCCGCCCTCCACCTACTCTTATCAGCAAATCAACTGCTTGGATAGCATCATAAGGTTTGTGTTTCAGATCATTAAAAGCACTGACTTTGTCACACATTATCACTGAATATGTTGTATTAATTGCAGACTAATCAGTCATATTATTATAGAGAGAGCATCTCTTGTGACGTATCTGCATATAAATATAGATGTTCACCATTGCAATTAATTCAGTGGTAGGTCCTGGACTCACCATTTTGTTTGGTTCATCAGGTATCTGGACAGCTGTAACATCCCGAACACGGTGAAGAGGAAGTGTGGCTCCTCTTCCTGCACTGCCTCCTCCACATCTGATGATGACAAACAGCAGGACGCACCACGCAATGCTAAAGGTGGGTACTGCAATGATAAACTAATTCAGAACAGTACTAATGTGTTTCAGTGGTAGTTGCATGTCTTAGTTGTATGCAGTATATTGTGCAACACCTCTACCATTCAAATTGTACTGTTACCACAGTAAACTGAAATGCCAGTTTTGAGCAAACGTATTTTATTTAAATTAATATTAACAGGTTAATTGGGAACAATGGCATGTATATACACACACTGAGTGCTTGCCATGTGTGTTTTTTTTTTTTTTTTTTTTAGCTTGTAAGCATTCGGCAAACTAATGAAAGAAGGCAAACTATGTAGATGGTTTGACTCATGAATCTTAATTATGTAATCTATCATTTGGACAGTAGGCATCATTTATTTTATTGAAGGGAAAACTAAACAAAATAATATTCATGAGCTAGGCTTTCTCCATAGTTTGATCAGATTCATAAATCCACCCTAATCCAAACACATTTATTTGCTAAAAAAGTTAATACAGTTAATATACTGTACATCAGAGATGATTATGCAAATGGTAGTGTTTGCATTAGTATACCACTGCATTTGCATGACATTTTGAATTATACACTACTGATCAAAAGTTTGGTTTTTGTAAGATTTTTTTTTTATTATTATTTATTAATTAATTAATTGTTTCTTTGAACTTTCTATTCATTAAAGAATCTTGAAATTGTTTATATAATTAAAATATTAATCAGCACAACTGTTTCCATCATTGATAATAATAAGAAATGTTTCTTGAGCAGAAAATCCTCATATTAGTATAATTTCTGAAGGATCATGTGACATTGAAGACTGGAGTAATGATGCTGAATATTCAGTTTTGCCATCATAGGAATAAATTGAATAAATTGCATTTTTAAAAAAAAAATTGTAATAACATTTCACAATATTACCATTTTACTGTATTTTGAGTATGAGACATCTTTCAGAAACAGACACCAAACTTTTGAACGGTGGTGTATATAGCTTAAGATATGCTGTGTATTAACAGATACTTATACCTGCAGGTCCATCTGTGTCTCTGGTAAAGGAGAGTGCATTGTTACCCCCACTGGCCATGCACAGTAAAGCGGAAAGTGTTGCGTCTGTCACCTCCCAGTGTAGTTTCAGCAGCACCATCGTCCATGTGGGAGACAAAAAACCTCCCGAGTCAGGTGGGCAAAAGTCAAGTCAAGTGATCTTTATTTATTTAGCGCTTAATACAATACAGATTGTTTCAAAGCAGCTTTACCTTGATAAATGGGAAAATAATGATCATTGATGCAAACAGAATTCAATATTGCTGTAGAGCAGGTCTAAAAAGAAAATAGTCTCATTGTTCAGCTGAGGACAGTACAGTGTTGATTCAGTTCAGTTCAATAACTGTGTAAAGATCATCAAATATGGACTGCGTTCAATTTAGCTCAAAGCAGCTCTGTGGGAAAGAGTAATGTCAACATCCAGCTCAGTACAGTTTTCATCCAATAGGGTCAGTGCAGTCAAATTAGGGGTGTGCGATATCGAACGATTAAACTGTCTCCATGATCTGCCTTTGGAGAGAAATCTTATTATCGTGCTACAGTGCATTCTGTCAGTTGCAGTTCTGGTCCCGCCGCCCCAACATGATGTTCAACGCATGCGTATATTCACATGTTTAGCAACACATCGGTAATGCTGGGTTTACAGTATATACTGGTAGATACGGTTACGTTCACATGACATTGCAATTCTTTGACATCGCGAAAGTTTGTTATTTCCATGCGTTTTGAAGCCAGTCACACACGCGCAAGTACCAAACTGAGTTCTTTCACGTATTATTGTGCTTAAACTGTTTATGTAAACTTTGTTTGTATTTGATACAGTAATTTATATCTTAAGTGAAAAACAGTTTGGAAGCGTGTCCGCATATTAGATCTGTGCATTCGGTCCTAAAGTGACAGCAGCCTAATATACCTAATAAATAAAAATGTATGATTAATGTTAATCAAACAACAAAATACATAGACAAATCAGTGTATATTTAAGTCATACAGTGAGGTCTATGTAGTGTTTTTTTGTTTGTTTGTTTTCAATTTCGTACTTGAATGAAAATATTAAAGCGCTCTTTCTACTTAATTTGTATCTTGCATTGTATTTGTCCTATTATTTGTAATTTGCATCTTTGTTCTTATTTTTCATAAAGTTAAAAATACTAATACGATTTTGGTCGTATCGCCGACTGCTACTTTGGCCTAAATGGTCTGTCATTTCTTTTTTCTGTCATTACTTTGTAAAGCTACATTTTTAAAATAGACAAATTAGTTGCTGTACTGATCATTAACTTGCAAAACAATCTTAAAATCCAAAATGAACCAAAAAAATCAGAAGATCGTGATCCTGTCTAAAAAAAAAATCGTGACATGATATTTTGCCCCAATATCCCCTAAGTCAAATCAATAGTATTGCTGAATATGAAGTGTCCCTAACTAAGCAGGCCAAAGGTGACAGAATGAAGAAGGAATAAAAAAAACATGCTCAGTCGGGGGGCAATTGGATTGGAGTTGAAGCTGGCCTTAGGGTCTGTGCAAAGGACTTGTGGTCTTTACTAAGGGTCTGTGCCGTTGGCTGTCGGGCCGACGAGGTATTCACAGGGGATCGGTCTCTAGGGCATTCAGGGCTGCATTGTGTTCATCTCTAGGTGCAGGTCTACCATGTGGTCTGGATATGGGTCGGATCCGGCTGACTATGGGATAGGAATGAGACAAACAGACCAATATTAGCATAGATATCATTTCTCTTAAAGTGCATTGGATGTTATAGGAAGTGTTCCTGGTTTTGCTTGGCCTAATTTATCCAGCCTAACAATCCTTTAACAGATTTGAATTATAGAAATTGTGATAGTGTGTTATGTGTAAGACAGGTTAAAAGGGTTAGATTAGATTTAATCTAGATCTAGATTTAAACAAGAGTGTGTCTGCCTCCTTAACAACGCTAGGAAGACTGTTGCAGAGTTTTGGTACTAAATAGGAAAAGGATCTACCACCCACAGTCTACTTTGATATTCTAGGTATTACCAACTGGTCAGAATTTTGAGACCGCAGTGGATGTGAAGGAGTATAAAGCGATAGGAGCTTGCTCAAGTACTGAGGAGCTAGACTATATAGGGCTTTATAAGCGTTTATAAGTTGATAAGTGTGTCAAATGTCAAAATACAGAAATTCAGTTTTCAATTGTTATATCTTATTGTGTCAAACACATCTCTTTTTTTTTTGCTCTTGTGGTTGTTCCTTGAAACCGAGTTTCTTTATAGTATCCACACTTCAATTTTTTGTGTTTTTTTTTTCCTCATTTCCACAGATATCGTAATGGAGGAAGCCCCTCCCACTCCAAATGCTGCTGCCACTCAACCACAAGCCCCTCCCACAGCCACACCCACTCTGCCCCCTAGTCCTGCTCCTGATAGGGATGCAGGAAGAAGAAGTCTCGGAGGAGCAGGAGGAGGAGAAAGGTTGGGCCTCACGAAAGAAGTCCTGTCGGCTCACACACAGCAAGAGGAGCATAACTTCATGTACCGCTTCAGAGACTTGAGCGAACTCAGAGTGTTTGACCCAGCCTCAGCTTTGCGCCAGCGAGCGAACGCACCCTTAGCAAGAGGTGAGGACATGCATAATATAAAACACACGTTACTACACAGAATTATTCTTCATTTATTACACGGCTCTCTGAAATGCTTGATTCTGATTGGTCAGTCGTGACACTCTAAGGCAGGGGTTCTCAACTCCAGTCCTCGTGACCCACTGCTCTGCATATTGTGTATGTCTCCCTTATTTAACACACCTGACTCAGATCCTCAGCTCGCTGGCTACATCTTGCTGAGGATCTGAATCAGATGTGTTAAGTAAGGGAGACATACACAATATGTAGAGCAGTGGGTCACGAGGACTGGAGTTGAGAACCCCTGATCTAAGGTCAGTTATTCTGTGATAATGACAGTCAATAGCTATGATGTAATAATCGGGTGCCATCTTGTGCCTCCATTATCGACTGTATTTACTGTAAAATAAAATCAGGGGACTTCAGTGATAATGATAGGCCTTTAGTAATATTGTTGATGTGTTCGTTTTGTTGCCATACCGATTGTTTTGTACGATTGTTTGGTTTCTTCTAAAACCAATATTTCATGTCCACATCTTACGGCATTATCCCTAAAATGTCAGCCGTGATTTTTGTTCGTTTAGGATCAAAGCTGCTGGCATTTAATGAGCTAATAAAATATTTCAGCTCAAATTAAAAAAAAAAAAAATTCAAGTCTTATTTACATCTGTGGCAAGTAGCCATGTAATGGTTGGGATAATGTTCATATTTAAATCTAATGTTCAACTGGCTGGATATACATTACCTTACTCATCTTATTTTCTTGATTTTTAGGTGTGCGCAGCTCTCGGGATTACCCAGCAGCAGGTAGCTCTGGGCGTAGACGCGGTCGAGGAGGCAAAAGACTGAAGCACCAGGAATCTTCAGAGCACACGAGGTCTCGTAGCCCAGCCGGCCAAATAAGAGGCCTCCGTCCTGGGGTTCCAGCTTTGGACCGGCCCTCTAATTCCTCCATACCCATGGGACCTGTTGCCAGTTCCTCTTCCTGGCCCACGTCAGGTTCACAAGCTAGCGCTCACTCTGTCCCGTACCCACCCGGCGTCCTTCCTTTATTTCCTGTCTATCCCCCCTTCTCCCATCCCGTCTCAGACCCCAGCATGCAGGCGGGGCTACGCTTCCCCCTTCAGAACTCACAGATGCCGATGCAGATGACGGGGGCTCCTATGGTGCCCCCGATGATGGCGTTGGTATTACCCAACTACATGTTTCCTCAGCAATTCTACAGCCCTAACCCGGCTTTCCCTTTCCCCGCTGCCAACATGACGTCCCCCGCTCCCTGTCAGATTCCGACTCCAGTCCCACGCCCCCTCTCTCGCTCCAGCACCCCTCATTCCATCAGCCAAAGAGAGGCCGGCCCTGAGAGAGAAGGAGCAGAGTCTCCGCTCTTTCAGTCCAGATGCTCCTCACCCTTAAATCTGCTGCAGCTGGAGGAGTCGCCAAGCAACCGGTTTGAGGTCGCATCAGCTTTGGCGTCAGTGCAACAGACCACATCTCCTATGGTGGGACAGGGAGGTGGAGCAGGAGGACAGAACCCCTCTAATCAGAGAGGTTCAGCGCTGGATTCAAAAGAAAATGAAAATGTAAGAAAATGCAATAATGGTTTCACAGAGAACATGCTTTTTTCAGTGGTCAATGCCAATACCTTTTGTACTTTTTCAATCTACTTTTATATTTAGGTTTCTGATATCAAAGTGATATTCAGTAGCAACTCATTTACTAATAGGAAATTAGCACGGTGACTTAAAATTGTAAACTATTGTCTTTTGCAGGGTGAACAAAATGATTCCAATCAGGACGCCATGTCCACCTCCAGTGATCTGCTGGACCTGCTGTTACAGGAGGACTCTCGCTCAGGCACTGGCTCAGCCGGCTCAGGCTCAAGGTCATTAGGCACAGGCTCCTCTGGTTCCGGCTCGGGGTCCTCTGGATCAGGGTCCAATGGCTGCAGCTCTTCTGGAAGTGGAACTAGTGAGTGCTTGATAATGTCTTCAATATCTTGTTTCAATAATTTTAGGTGACTAGAGTGTTACTTTGTATGAAGGAACTGAATGTCATTCAGCACAGCAGTCTTTACTTGTTGAGAAGTGTCAGTTGAGTTAAATAACTTCTCTTTTGTGTTGACATAACAGGAAGCAGTCAGAGCAGCAACACAAGCAAGTACTTTGGTAGTGTCGACTCATCTGAAAACAGCCATTCCCGCAAGCAGACAGCAGAGGGCGATGGAGAGGCACAGTTCATCAAATGTGTCCTGCAAGATCCCATCTGGCTCCTCATGGCCAATACGGATGAAAAGACGATGATGACCTACCAGCTGCCCCTCCGGTAAACTATAAAATACTTTGTAGGTTTCAGTACATCACTAGGGTTGGGAATGGAGAGCTGGATTAGTTGCATTTAAAAGTATTTTAAATTGAACATTTTGTTTATTTATTATTACTATTATATGATTTTTTATTATTATTATTTTTCCAGGAGCTGGATCAGTTTCTTTTAAAATATTATAAATGGAACTTTTTTTTATTTTGGTTCATGATGTCATTTTCATTTTGTGGGGCACATGGCATGCCTTGCAAATTCTGCATTTATTCTTTTGCAAAAATGACTAAAAAGAATCATTAAAGAGAGAGAATCATTATCTCTAGTCAAATCATATCCAGAATCCGATTCCCATCCCTACAACACAATTACTGATTTAGAACCAAACATACATTTTGATGCATCTCATTATGATGCAAATAGCTTTCCCATGCCCAGTGTTAAAAGGCAGATACAACCAGTAAATGACCCAGTAAATCTGTTTTTCAACAGAGACAGAGATTCCGTGTTGAAAGCGGACCGTGCTGCTCTGAGAGCCATGCAGAAACAGCAGCCTCGCTTCACTGAAGAGCAGAAGAGCGAATTGAGTCAAGTTCACCCTTGGATCCGCACTGGACGCGTGCCTCGTGCTCTCAACATTTCGGTGAGTTTAAATCTCTCAGACAATAACGGCCACCCAATACACCTCTAAACACTGAGTCTTGATTGTTTTATTTATATGCTATGTGTTTCTCAGGCATGTGTGGGCTGTAAGTCCTCTCCTTCGGTCCCCTCTGCGACCCCCTTCGATGTGGAGATCCACGAAATGGAGTTCTGCAGTGTTTTGGAGTGCTGTGCTGAGAAACACACCCCAGCGGACACGGCCATGGAGAAGAGCGAGGCCGAGGGAGAAGAAGAGTCAAGCAAAGACCAGGAGGTTGAGAATGTTGGGACTATTATGACGTCACAAATCAATGACCAAGAAATGATGATAGAAGAACAAGGAGTAACCTCGCTGATCGAGGAGGAAATGGGTGCCTCACTTTCACAGATGACACACTGAGCCAGTGCAATACTGATGACATCGTTTGTGTACTCATTAAATTATCCAGTTTTATTTATTTCTATATAGAAATGCTAATTAGCCAGGAAGGCTGGCAGATGATGAATGTAAAGCAGAATTGCTTTGTTGAAAGACTGTGATATCTCAAAGTAAGGATATTTTGGTTCTTACAAAGAGGTTAGGATCTGTTGGCAGTCGCGATTTGGCAGGAAGTAAGGGATACTTGGCTTTAGACCACTCTGGATTTGACCTCAAGACACCAACTATTTAATTCCAGTTCTAGTGACCTGCAAAAACACATTTTGTGGTGTTAAACAACTATATCAAATGTTGTCAAATGGGTTAACGGATGTTCAGACAAAGGATGATAATTATAACGATATAACAAATAATCAAATTCTTTCCAGACGATGAACGATAAAAACAAATTGGTTATTGTCCGTTGATGTGGACCTTAATATTGCTATCGTTATAGTTATAATCCTTGGTGTGAACGGGTCTTTAAACTCTGGTGTTAAGTTGATTTAGGTCTGTTTTTAGACAGGAGAACAGATTCACTGCCTTTGAGGACGGTCTAACTGTTTCTCACCTTTGTGAATTTTTACATTTCCCAAACGTTATGGAAATGTTATTGCAATTTTTTTACAGGTATATACAGATAGGATTTTTTTGACCAAATTTACAGTTTTTATTTTGATCATTCTGTATATATTTTTTTATACGTTATTGGTGCAAAATTGTCAATGTTAAAGCTTGGAGGAATTGTATGAAATGTACTGCAACTTGGTCTGTTACAGTTCATTTTCACCACTACTTCAGATTTAGATGTCACTACAGTAATCATGGCAACTGTGAACTTTTCAAGGAGTATTTGTAGCTCAAATCATCATCTTGTAAAGTAGCACTTAGCAAAGGGAAGCTTCAGAGGTCACAGCCAGAAAAAGCTGCCACACACTGCTGGGTCGAAAGAGCGGATGCGTTTGATGTTATTATATTTGAACCGTACCATCAAAGAGAAATGAGTTTTCCACAGAAGAAAGTTTAAAAGAACATGAGGGTGATTTAATTGATGACAGAATTTTATTTTTTTGGATAAACTGCCCCTGTAAAGGAATGGGTGAAAAATGAGTTGGCAAATCAGTCTTTACCTTTTCCAGTCTGTTTCAGTCATGTGCTATTTGACTTCCAGTTGTCTTGGAACAGTTTGTAAGTATTTTGTGTATTTCTTTATATGAAAAATAAAAAATAATATGGTTCTCACTTTTGTGGTCTGCAGAATTCCTTGAATTTAAACCGGGAATTATAAGAATATACAATGATTGAAAAGCACACTGTATGCTTTGGATAAGGAAGAGGGAATTCAAATAAGCAGTTTTCATACCAAACCACAGGCTTTTAGTAGACAAGAATGTCCACGGAGCAAACAAAAACACAAATGGAGGTTTTTCCAACTAAGACTCACAAACACTCAACACTAAAAAAAAAAATCTTTTTTATGATAACATTTTTTTCTTTTGTCAAATCAACTTAAATAAATTATTTAGTTCAGATCACTTATAATTTTGAGTTTCTGATGATTAAATAATTCTCCTTCATTGTATTAACTCACTTTTTCCAGTTCAATGAACTTAAAATTAAGGCAACCAGGTTACTTACTTTAAGTTAAACCAACAATATTTTTTTTACAGTGTGCGATGCACACAAATAAGCTGATGATTATAGTACAGAGCTATACGAAAGTTATAAAAAAGGAATTTTATATAAAAAGGACTTAATAACATGTTTGCTTTCGCCAGTGCCCTGGTAAGAAAGTTTGGCTTGACTTGCATTCCTTCCCTGCACCGCAGTGTAACGACAGGCCTATAGAGAAAGAGAGAGAACTAAAAGGCCACCAAGAAAACGGAACACTTCTAGCCCTAATTGCGCTGTTTAGCTGCAAGCATTTGCTCTTATATCACTTTTGTCCCTGAGCATTTAACACGCAAGGAAAACAAACATAATTAACCCTAAAAATACAACTTACTGACAAGGCATATCTCTGTGAAAGAGGCGATGAATAGTGGTTAGTGTGTTTGGTTGGTTGTAAATATAATTTCATTCAATTTTAAATGTCTATCTCTCTATGATTTAACAGAAGTGGCATCTGGGACACATAACTCTTCCCCTTCACTCACTTTTGCTCTCGTTTTCGCTGCCTTTTGAATCCCTCTTTCAGTCCTGTCGTTCTCCACGCCCTTAAACTCGCCCCTCTCCTCCAGTCCCTCACTGACTCGTTCTCTGTGCCTCTTTGAGAAGAAGGATGTGGGGTGATGTGTGCGTGTGGCATTTGGGGCTTCTGTTTTTGGGGTTAGGATGGGTGCATGGACAAAGCCAGACCAACTTCACAAGGTAAGTGGGAGAAGGTTTGTGTGTTTCTCTACGTGAGATGTTAATATCTGCCTAACAAAGCAGCAGGGCTGGATCTGGATATAAAACGCATAAACGCAGTTTGCAGGAAACATTGATTGCAATGTTTCTCTGCAGCTCTTAATTAGACAGGAAACATTAACGTCCTGAAAAGTCCGTTTTAATTATTGTATTTTTAAAGTCAAGATAAGTTCAGTTCAGGATAATGTTGAAGTTGTTGTTGTTTTTTTGTATTCATAGTATGCATTTTGCATGCCATTGCCAATTTTTTTTTACACAATTTTGCAATAATAAGAAACATGAATTTGCATCAAGATGCAGGTTTGTTTCTTATAAATATTATTGTTTAAATATTAGTTTAGTGAGAGTGTGTAATTGCTTGGTAATAAACCATCACATCAAAATAACTTCTTATATTTTATTTTCCCAGGGAATGCATGAACTGGCAAAATGAGCTCCTCACAGAGCTATCAAACTATCTTATTTATAGATAAGAAAAAAATCTCTTTACAGCCTGAGCTGAACAACACAATGTTTATGCCACAAAAACAGCCGTATTTAATTGTTAAATTCATGCATTATTCTGTAGCCGGCCAATAAAAGCAATCGCTATTTAAGTGATGGTTTTGATCAGTGCAGAAAGAGCAGGCACACAACTTACATCTGAATGCTGCCTGCATTTGCGTGAAAATCTTTAAAAATATTAATGGCTAGACTGTCAGTAGACTGTTAGGTTATGGTTAGGTGTTAGGGTTCAGGTTAGGAGATCAAGTTTACTTGTAGTCGCCAAGTTACTTAGTTGAATATCTGTTGGGGAACCAACAAAATAAAGTGTTAGTAGATATTAAGCAGACAGTCTACTAATACTCAAATGATAGTTGACATGTAGCGGCAAAATTACTTGTAGTTAGTTGAATGTCTAAAGTGGACTATCAAACTAAAGTGTTACCGCGCATATCAAGTAAAGTTTGGCATTTATGGCAGTTCTGACTCTGAAAATAGTTATGATGTTTTTGATGAGGTTATGTGTTTTATTTGTGTGTGTGTGTGTGTGTGATGTATGTGAACTGAAAGATTTGCTTATAGACTGTCTGAATTATATATATATATGTCCAAAAAGATCTGTGGCCCTATCTGTAAATTCATCTGAGCATGACTGTTCAATTGGCTGCGGTTTGTATGCATTTCTTTCTAATATGACAGAATCAGGTTGGAACCAGTATAGAATTTTTTAAGAAATTCTGAATCAATATTTCTATAGCAAAACAGTGCTGTTCTCTTGAACGTTTGTCATGGTTGGTGGCTGTAATGAAGCGCACAATGAAGGGGATACTCCTTAATACAAGAATTGAAATAACCATAAAATAATTCGGAGGAAACACAACCATGAACACTGACATCAAACAATACAAGACCAGGAACTGGTCTCAAAACAATATGTAACCATGGAAAGCAGCAGGCAGGCGACGAGGATGACAAAACTAATTAACAGAATAGAAGATTGACAATAAGTCTCAGGTGTTTACACGACAACGATATGCTTAAAACAGAGAAGTTTTTACTTTGAGTTTCCCACATACAGACAACACCACTGTAAAACGATCATTCAGACGGATTTGCGAAAACCGCTAAAAACGCTGTATTCTGCTGCCAACATTATAGACCGAACACGTAATATGCATATGCATGACATCGTTTTCAAAGTTTCGCGTTTTGTTGTGTTGTTTACACTGAGACCTTTTTCAAAAGTTTGTTTCCAGCCACCCTAAATGCTGTTATTGTGTAAATGAACGGCCAAAACGCATAAAAAGTTTTTAGTTGAAAGCCCCCCAGACATTATCAGCAAAACAGGTAGAAAACAAACTTAAAATGGGACAACTTTCTATACATCAAAAAATTATCCTAAAAAAAGTATCACAGTTCCACAAAAGAATGTTTTCAACATTTAGCTGTTTTGAAAATTCGGATTTGCCATCACAGGAGTTAATTTAAAATCTATTAAAATAGAAAACAATCATTTTAAACTGTAAAAATATTTCACAAAGTTACTATTTTTTCCTGTATTTCGGATCAAATAAACGCAGCATTGGTGAGCGTAAGAGACTTAATTCAAAAACCATTAAAAACTTCAATCCGACCGACCCCAAACTTCAGAACGGTAAAGTCATTCATTCATTTTGTTTATTATTATTTTAAAGACATAACTGCATTAAACATGAACCATACTGTTCCTATTCCTCCTTCATGCTCTCCAGGCCCATATTCCAGTGTGGTGCCCATTTGGTGACTGACTCGGGGTTTGTGGCTAGTGAAGGTTTCCCCTCTCATTACAAACCAAACTCCAAATGCACCTGGTACATCACAGTAAGTCCATAACCTTCCGTCTCTGTAACAGTATATTCCAGACATTATATTTTGATCACGTCTCTTCTCCCATCAGGTCCCAGAAGGTCATGTTGTGATGGTCCAGTTCAGGATCTTTGATCTAGAGGCGGATCCCACCTGCCGCTATGACTATGTGGATGTCTATAATGGACACTCATACACGGTGCAGAAACTGGGCCGGTTCTGTGGGACGTTCCGACCTGGAGCCCTCATCTCCACCTCCAACACCATGATGTTGGAGATGGTGTCTGATGCCAGCACAGGAGGAAGAGGATTCCTGGCTTATTTCAGTGGGGGGAAACCACATGTTGATGGTGGGATGATTCTAGGTCCAGATTTATCGTTGATAGTACAATCCAGAACAAGTTTTTATCATCTGACTTAATGTTAGTCACAGTTTCATTTTACAAATGTTTTATCCCTAAATGGTTTTGTCCCAAAAATCCCCAAATGGTGTGTGATTCCTGTGATTTGTATCATTATTTGGAAACATTCATAAGTGGAAGTAGCCTGGCAAGCCAGATCTACATCAAGATGTTAGGTCTGGGAACTCACAATTGGCATAACAATCCGAGGGGGGGGATAAAAGGTTGTCTTTCAATATCCCTCTGCACTTAATAGGATATAGCGCTACCCAACCAGAGTAACGAACGGCTGTGGCTGAGTGAGTCCCATGCGTTTTCCCACCAGCGGAGCTAGTTATATATTAAACTTTTTCCATATCCACTCCTCAAAACTCCAAACACATCTTCCTTTTTTAAGAATGACTTAAGTGACGTTCTCTTAACTCCAAGTCATCCAGAGTCGCGGCCAAAGCCGAATCGAAAGACCGCTGTTCGCCAGCAGCATCTTGTTTGTTTTCAAGTATCAGGGAAATCACCTATGCAAATCACGGCACAGAACCGTCACAACTCTGCCGTCATTGTGTTAAGCCCGCTCACCAACTCTATACACGATGTGATTGGCCTGACCAGAGTTTGGTTTTTCCACTTCGAAAGCCAACGCAGAGTTGCTAGACCACACTAGCTGCAAAATAATTTTGCTGCCGCTAGGGTGCGTCTAGATTTCTACACTAAAGTGGAAGTTAATTTTTTCTAAACTAAATAAAATATAGTGTCGGAGGGAGAGGGCATTTTCTCCCCTTACCTCCCCTGCTTTGCTTCTCTCATCACGTCTAGTCTACTGTCTTGTACTTTGAGACTCTCTCAGCACTGCTCTCCAAACTAAGAAATTATGGATTTGATCAACTGGCCTCTCAACGCAATTGACACCATCTTCTTGACGAGATGCTTGGGTTCGGGGGAACCTGACTGCCCTGCCGAAACGTTCACAGCTGGCTACACGATGGACGCGTGGGATAGGTGGGTGGTCGTGTGTCTGGCGGCTCTTTCCGTGGAGGACGTTGAAGATATCTACCTATTCGGAACCATTATAACAGGTCTTCTGCTAATTGGATTAGGCATTGCCCTGGTTTATCAAGGAATTAAAAAGACGGTGACAGCTGTCCAAAGCCTCAAAAGGCTGCCCGTCATGATTGAAGCAGAGGGCAGAGCTGTCAGCACTGAGATTGTGTGTATGAACCAGAATATGGATAACATCATGGAGAAGCTCACAGCTTTGCAAAGGCAAATGGATAATTTCGGAGACCCAAATGGACCATGAGAATAGTCGTGTAAATGGAATGCGGCTACTTGCCCCAAGACCAAACAATCCCAATCTTATATGTTTTCGGCCGCCCTCAACCAGCACTGGCATTGGCCAAGGCCGCTGTTGGAACAGCAACTCCCCTGAAAGAGCACTGCAGTGAGCCGCTCTTGCGTTCCTTCCCTGACTCCCCTTAGACCTGATCAAGGTTTTCTCCATGGCAACTTGCTGTGTATCGCTATGACAATCCTGCGGACTGAGGCACGTAGATTATGATGCCAGGCATAGCCACTCTCCAGGCCTACACATACACAAACTCTTACATACTGTATATATACAGATATGCAACCACCAGCCCCACACCCCATCTCTCGCCTTCGCCTCTTTGTACCCCCCAGTCTGACAGGCGGGTCTGTGACTAACGCAGAGAATGGCTGTAGGACCGGTTGGCTGATCAGATATGCTTCTAGACATTTCATAATATCAATGTTAAAAAACAGCTGTGCTGCAAATTATTTCAGAATGCTCTGATAAACAGAAAGTTCCAAAGAACATTTGGAATAGAAAGCTATTGTAACATTACAAATGTGTTTGCTGTCACTTTTGATCAATTTATGCATCCATGCTGAACAAGTATACTTCTATCAACAACAGAAAATCAATTTAATATATGCCAGTACTAGAATTGAAATTAATTAATTTTGTCATTCTAATTTTTCTCGTTCCACTCCCTATTCCCTACAGAGAATCAGTTTTGTGGTGGCAGACTGACGAAGCCTCAGGGTTCAGTGAAGACACCGAACTGGCCGGAATCTGATTACCCAGCAGGCATCAGCTGTTCTTGGCACATATCTGTGGAGCCCAACATGGTCAGCCTGCAAATATCAATTCACAGCTCCTTTTCTCTTGCATTTGTGTCATCTACTCTCAATCTGTTAAGTTAACAACCATTAAGGCATCAGAGACGGAATCATATTTAAGTTTACTATAGATGTGCTGCTATGAGATTTTGAGTATGTGTGTGTATTTGGATGAATTTGAACTCTAGTGTGTGTTCATGATTACAGCAAACAGTGTATGAAAGAGTATGTGAAAGACCTCATTCAGAGAAAGTGTATAAGTTGGGACGTGGAAAGAGAGAGCGCAAGAGAGGGGCAGGAAAAGTGCATGAAAGGGCCTTTATACCTTTATAAGAAAATTAGCTTTTTTTTCTTGTGTGTGTGTGTGCGTGTGTGTGTGTGTGGTAAACCCTATGTTTTGGGTTTGTCAAAACAAAAATGTCCCCAAGTTGATGGTAATATCTGAAATCTTTGCCATCTCCCCATGCGGAAAACAGCCCTTATAAAATTAGCAATACGTTTAAGAGTATTTGCATACTCTTAAAAACTTACATTATTTGAAAATATTGATTTATTAGGAAAACAGATATGGATGACTGTGCAAGCTTTGGGGGTATTGATGGTTGCGATCTACCCTATTCTGATTCCGACCCAGGCTCCCCAGTTCAGTAGTCCTCAAAATCCTACCAGTGCACAGAAAACGTTCGCTTAAAATCCCCACAATGCACCGTGAAAACCAGGGAGTGTCAAAGCACGAAACATTAATCATGTGTGCTAACTCACTACATATAATGACACTCGATAGATGATTTTTATAATACAAACCATTATTTAATTGTATTACAGCATATGCATCAGGTAATCTAACTAACATTTATAATGTCATTTAATTAAAATGATCAAATGATATCAGAAAGATATCAGTTCTGCTGTTGTTCATAAATACCAGTAGTGATGTTGTACAATGAGGATGATGTCAAATCACCGGAAATAGAGTCATCAGTGTAGTGAGCCAGGGTCCTTACGGTCCTTAACAGTGCCTGAATTTGTGTACATGATATACTGATTCATGACCTGATGGGAAGCTAGGGAACTGATTGAGACGCACCCGTAGTCTTAGGATTTTCTCTGCTTTTTGTTCAATGTGGGTTTTTTAAAAGTTTTTTAAGTGTTGATAAAAAAAGTTAGCCTGAAGCTAGAATAAAATGTTTGTTTATTTAGCAGAGCCTGTGTTATTTACGGTGGTCGAGAAGTAGGTTATTTCTTTGGAAATATTGCATGTTCAGATATTCGTACAAAATAATTTTCTGGGGGCCATGACATTTTTGTGTTAAAATAATAAAAATTGCTGGTGCTGGCTGGCAACTGGCAAAAAAAAAAAAAAAAAACACTGGAAGGGAAAGAGTTAAAGTATTTCAAGTATAAAAATTAGTTAAATTGTAACATATACTTTAAGTGCAAAAAAATTATGTATAACTACCTTAATAACTATTAATAAGCCGTAATTAGGAGTTTATTGAGGCAAGTCATGGTCAATTAATAGTGAGAATTGGGCCCTAATCTAAAGTGTGACCATAAAAAGTCTTTTTTTTAAAGTATATTACGATATTGTATGATATTAAGTTCACTTCATTAAAACTTTTAAGTATACTTGCAGTATAAAACTACTAAACTATTATTTTACTAAGAGTATCCACTATATTTTTCAACACGGAAGGTGTTTTCTGTGAATTCTGATTTATTAGCCGCTATAGTGAAATAAGGAGAAGAATCAAAGTGCAGTAAACGTGTTTATTAAGATGCTTCAAAGCCTACTTTAATAAACTAATAAATGTGCTACAAGTATTTAACTAGTAGGCTATCAGTATACCTATAAGTTCACTAGTCGTAGTTGCAGTACAACGGACCGCTTAAGGTAGCTTCAAGTATTATGCGTTGTTTATATATGTAGCTGCTGTTTCTGACATCACAAACTACCTTGTAACTAATCACGTCAACGTGTGACCGTCAACAAGTGGATCTCTGAGCTGGTGTGAGTAATTGGAGGCGGGGCTAATTTGCATACACATAGAACCGCTTACACTAAATAAAGCAAGGGTGTAGAGTTCTTGGCACATATCTGTGGAGCCTGACATGGTCAGCCAGCAAATATCAATTCACAGCTCCTTTTCTCTTGCATTTGTCTCATCTACTCTCAATCTGTTAAGTTAACAACCATTAAGGCATCAGAGACGGAATCATATTTACTGTAGCTTTACTATAGATGTGCTGCTATGAGATTTTGATGCATGAAACTTTTTTTTTAATAATAAAAAAAATAATAATAATTCCAAAACAAAATATATGGAATGTCTCCATAAAACGTGTGTGTGTGTGTGTGTGTAAACATTATGAGGACAAAATATCCCCACAAAAATGGCAATATCCAAAATCATTGTCCTTTTGGGGACATTTCTTGGTTCCCATGAGGAAAAAAGCTTTTAAAACATACTGTGATATTTTTGAAAATGTAAAAGTGTTTAGTGTAAGAGGAGAGAATATACAGTTTGTAACAAAAACCATTACGTCTATGCAAAGTCCACATAAAACATGAAAAACAAAGTGTGTGTGTGTGTGTGTGTGTGTCCAGGTGATTGAGGTTAAGTTTGAGAAGCTGGACTTGGAATTAGACACATACTGTCGTTATGACTACGTGGCCCTGTTCAACGGGGGAGAGACTGATGACTCTCGACGTATTGGCAAATTCTGTGGAGACATGGTTCCAGAGTGAGTACAAACTCTATTCATGCACAACAACATTGAGTCCTTCAAACTTCATCAAAACTTCATTCTAAGGACAGAGAATTGTTATCTATCTACACAGGAAAAGGATGTTGTTGTTTTCTGCAAGGTCAGTCATCCTAAGGGAAGCTATAGTGGAAGAATGTGATTCCCAATTAGGACATGCTTTCTCTTTGCACATTCAGTCTCTTCCAAAATATAACCTTTGTACTTGGGAAGGTCCATGAAGCCCTTTATTCAAGTCCTGATAATGTTGGATATAAAATTTTTTTCATTGCTCTGTAGTAATGAAATAAGTGTAAAAAATAGTGTTAGATGCTATTTATACTTAGCTCAAAAAGAGGAAAATACTATTTGCACCTCAGAATATTGTAGTACTTTATAAAACAGTAAGTAATAGTAACATTTTGAATCATAAATAAAAGCTGCCTTATTGTGACCTTACTGATCCCTTTTCATAAAGTCCTTCCCTACACCTACCACTAATCATATTGAACCTGCTGATCAGTAAAGGTCAAGGGAAGGAGCTACAGTTTTGAATGTGGCAACAGTATGAGCTGCACTTGTCACGCGGTTTCAGGCCTATTTAAGCACTTTCCACTGATTTCACAGACAATGATTAAGCTAGTGCCAGACTAAAAAGCATGGTTGAGCTGATTTAATTGAAAGCAACTTGTACATATTACAATATGTCAGTGTCATTGTTTTGTCTCAAGATGCACACCAGTAATGTTTTTTCTTTGTTTGTTTGTTTTTCTAAGGCATGTTTATAAAATCGAATTAAATGTCCAAATTGAACTAAGGCCTAATCATGGCTTAATCTAAGCCCTGTCCTTGAAACCGGGTCTTTATATGCTCAGTAAAATAAACATCATGCTGATCTGATATGCAATAGGAAAAGGGGGGAAACTATTGCTTTCCATGATGCTGCATCCTCACCACTAGGTGGCAGCATAAATCCAAGACAACTGCCATGACGTAACATAACATAAAGGTGTGTGCAACATTTCTTTAAAATTGGTTGGTTGGTTGCCTCAACAGTCAGCTAATCGATCTTGGAAGGAATCCGTGTGTTTTGTGCTTTTTTCAGATTCATCAGATCTCATTTAGATGCGTTTCTTAAAGGGAGGGCACACATAAAACATGTTCTTGTGTTCAAAATGCAAGATGTCTTGAGATTTTGTTAGGACATGCTACCCTAAAAACACAACACTAATGTTGTAAGATGTTAAAAAAAGCATTAGTTAGGATACAACAACTAAAGATATAAACAAAACCAAAAAATGTCTGACTGCACCTTTAAGACTGCTGCTATAATAGAAATAATTGAATCTATAGAGTTCTACTAGTGATGGCATATTTCCATAGGCCAGCCCAGAAGCATCACCATGGTTCCCTGGCTAACAAAAAGCCATTATGATTTTTCTATTGGCTTTTGGGTTATTGCAGAAAGTAAGCTCCATGACCAACGAACATTTATGATTCTTACACCTTGCACGTTCAGTTAATTAAAAAAATAAATAAATAAAATAAACACAACTTGTAAGTTTGCAAACGCACAAATATAACAATGAGAGTATAAAAGTGGATGAGTGCGTGCGTAGATAAGTTTACCTTGGGGGCGTTTCCCAAAGCCAACTATAAGTTCCGACATTACCAATAAAGTTCCATGGAACTTGCGACCATAGTTGGCTAACAATGCTTTTGGGAAACGCACCCCTGTTTGGTATGATGTTTAATGCTCCTACAACCTTTGTAGTCCCATTCAGCAAGCTTTTTTAGGATACGTAAACGCTTAAAATGTTATGTCATTAAATAAAACCTGAAAATATCTTGAGCTTGGGTTAACCACAGAACTTTTTTCAGGCATTTAACCAAAAACACATCCAATAAAACCCATTGAGGTTGGAGCGATGGATCCGGAAGTTCAAAAATCCTAACTTGTATCCGAGTTTTAGGATTCCTGCAGCACTCTGTAATTGTTATTTAAAATAATTGTAATAATGCTCTTTATATCTCTGTCAGTGTGGTTGTGACCAATGGAAATGAGTTGCTGGTGCACTTTGTATCGGATCTGAGTGTGACGGCTTCAGGCTTCATGGCTCACTACAGGAGTATTCCCAGAAGCTCCCGCACAGCCACTGCTAGCCTTGACACAGTACATGGGCCGAGAGTCGACATAATACCTACTAAACCCACTTCTCAACCAGCCAGACCTAAACCTAAAACTAAGCCTAGTAGGCCGACACCAAAAGCTCCCTCAAGACCACCTAAACCCGTACCACCCAGACCAACTCCTAAGCCAAGATCAAAGCCCAAACCAGTCAGACCTACAACAAGATCTGGTTCTAGAGTCTCACCAAAACCTGCCGTAAAAGTGACCGCAAAACCTGCGACGAAGCCTACACCTAAGCCAAAACCAACAAGTACTACGGCAAAGCCAAAAGTAAAGCCTGGTGTCAAACCAACAGCAAAGCCAAAGACCAATCCCATTGCAAAACCTGGGAACAAAACAACAAAAGCAGGTACTAATGCTTATTTGTGTGACAGAGCAAAAAAAATAAAAAATAATATATATATATATATATATATATGAAGAGTTCAGATGCAAAAGCCTCTAAGTGCCATTTGAAATTTTCTTCTAGAATGATCATTTTTATCAAGCTTGTATATTTAAGTTCAGTGATTTCACTTAAATTGCAATGATAATTACCTATTAATTGCCATTTAAGTGAAATTACTGAACTTAAATATACAAGTTTGATAAAAATCATTAAAGAAGAAAATTTCAAATGGCATTTAGAGGCTTTTGCATCTGAACTCTTCATATATATATATATATATATATATATATATATATCCTTGCGTGTGCTAGACTACATATTTATGTTTATAATTTTATCGGTTTCTTTCAAGCCCCAGTGGGCAACCCACTGTGTTCCCAACCATGCAAGAGAATAGGCACTCTCGTGACCCGCTTCTGCCCCAGTCATTTTGGTGAGTTGCTTCATTTATGTCTCTTTTATTCTGCTATTTCTGTCTGCTTCATTCTCCCCTAATTGCCTGTCACAGACACGGACCCCTGGGGCTTTCTGCAGACTCACAGGAAGATTTGAGGCTTCTAGTGCAGCCAGCTGTTCCCATCGTAATGATGGAGAAAACCTTAGAGCAGTGCTTACAGCAAATATAGCTACACTAACAGTCAAGATGCAAAGCTAGAATAATAACGGTAGCACTTTAGAATAAAGTTAATTAGTTAATCTTAGTTAATGTATTAACAAACATGAACTAACAATGAGCAATACATTTGTTACAGTATTTCTTCATATTTGTTAAGGCTAGTTCATAAAAATAGAGTCATTCATTGTTTGTTCATGTTAGTTCACAGTGCATTAACTGTTAACAAGATCTGAATAATCTAGTAAATGTTGAAATAAGTGCAGTTCATGCTAACTAATTTAGTTGAAGCTACACTGTGTAACTCTTTTAGTTTATTCTTAGCTAAAAACTTCTAGTTCTTTCAAAATTATATGTGTTCATTAATGTATATTTACTTCGTTCAAGTAATAAAGTATTCTCGTGAGTGTATAATATGCCATTGAAAATACATACGGGTAAGGGGTTCTAATGTCGGTCGCCATGTTGCCCCTCCATTTTGAAAGTACATTAGCCAAAGAGGGACATACCCGTTAATTCAAGCTTCGCCTTTCGCGTTTACGTTTGAGTTAACACTCATGGACGAGGTCGAACTGGAAGCCATGTTAATCTTGGACTACATTGGCCACCGTAGGAGTTAAAACGAAATCGGAATTGATAGGAACAGAAACTAATATTCACTGGATGGTCATATACCTTTTCACCGCTAGATGGCGCAAAAAATCACACAGTGTAGCTTTAACTAATAACTAATGGACCTTATTGTAAAGTGTTACCATAATAACAATATTCATATTTTTATTTTTTAATTACTTTAACAATCACACGTTTAATGTTCAATTTCTTTAATAAGGAATATTTATAATTATTTATTACTAAGAAATATATATTTTTGTATTGGGATCAGAAGCATGCATTTGGAAAACAAAGCAACTTGTCTCTCTGCCTCTCCCACAGTGTTGACTGGTAAAGTGACATCAGTGACCCCAGGATCTCAAGGCAGTGCTGAAGTTGAGGTGTCTGTCATAAAGGTCTATAAGGCAGGTAGACTTCAATTCAGAAAAAGAGGACCCACCACGTCTGCCACACTGACAGCTACGTGTATGAAGTGTCCAGCACTGCGTAAAGGTGAACGAAACACACACACACGGACGTCTGGTTCACTGTTGTTGTGGGGAGTCTCCTTAGACGTAATGGTTTTTATACTGTACAAACTGTATATTATCTCCCGTTACACCAACGCTACCCATCACACATTTTTCCCCCCAAAAATAAAAATAAATAACATTTTGTATGATTTATAAGCTTGTTTCCTCAGGGGTACCTCAATTTAGGTCCACACAGTGACACAAGTCTCCATGAGACTGGTTGAAGTCCCTAATGGGATAGAAAAACATGAAAACAGACACACACACACACCTACTACAAGCAGTCTTGCATGACTCATTTTCTATTACATGTACGACATTTAAGAATGTGTCACTGGCTATTATTTTTGAACATTTCACTGACCTTAATAGTTTAATAATCATTGTGAATTTACTTCATAGGAGTGAACTATGTGCTGATGGGCCAGGTGAATGACGAAGGCCTTGGCGTTCTGACCCCATCCAGCTTTGCCCTTCAGCATAAGACAGTGCATGACAAAGCACTGGCCAACCTCGCAAAGAAAACATGCTGACCTCACAAACACTGACTACAGTCCCACTCTGGTTTGTTTTAATCATAACATCAAAGTCAGGCAGGGAAAAGACTAATTGAATCAACAAAATCCTTAATATGGATTTAGCATCTTTTTTTTGA